TGGACGTGGGGACAGCCCCAGAGGCAGGACGCTGGTACTATCAGCTCTCACTCAGTGGGCATGGGTGCCAGAGCAAGAGCTTGCACTCCTAGCCCCCCCAGCTGTGCCTAAGGGCAGAGAGAAGCAGGGGGCTGAGCTAGCGGCTGTGGACAGCACCGTGCTGTGCCATGCCGTGGGGGACCACGCAGCACAGCTCGAGGTCTAGGCAGACTGTGAGGCCAGAGACAGTGTGACAAACAGCCAGAGGCAGTGCCTGCCTCCTGCCCTCATTAAATCCCCCCTAACGAGCTCAGCACTGAGCCTTGGGACCCAGCTGGACTCTGAGCTGGTCATTACTGCTGACAAGGACCTGTCAAAGTGGGAGATGTGGTGTGTCTCTCCTCCTATGCACAGCATAGCTCATGGGGGCACACTGGGGGGGGGCACCACAGAGCTGGGGACACATACCCCCAAACCTTGCCAGCTCCTCTCACGCCCTTCCCTCTGAGCCAAGTGGGAAGATAAGTGTCCCCCCCCAGGTGCCAGTGCAGGACAGGCCCCCCCTCTCCTTGCCCACGCTACTGCTTGGGGATGGGGTGAGACTCAAGGTGCAGGGAGCTGTGTGGGGACCCTGGGGCTCCCCTGGCAGCACCGCTGGGGCCAAAGGGAGACTGGGGAAGGGAGGAAGGGGTACAAGGAGAGAGTGCAGGTGGCCCCGAGGAGAGAGGCATTGGGCCAGGTGGGAGACAGCGATGGCAGGGCACTGATCCAGGGTGGAAGGGAGCTCTGGACTGGAGGTCAGGGCTGTGGGACAGGACTGCTGCCAAGCCCTGGATTTCCCCTTCCAAGCTCCTCTCCCAGGACCTGCCTGGAGCAGGAGAGATGGAGGAGGATGACGAGCACAGCTCCCCTGCTACTCCAATCCCCGAACAGAGCTGCTCCTTCCCAGGAGCACCATGGCACAGATAAGGAGCCCCGGTGATCCCCAGGGCACGTTTAATCTGGGACAGGACAGTTATTGGATAAATACCATGAATATGTAAATTGCATTTATGCTGATTTATGGCTGGGGGGGCAGGTGGGGAGGGGAGATGGTTTAGTTTAGTTTAATGCATTTATTTCCCTGCCTCGAGATGGAGAACAATCTCCGAGCACTACATCTGCCAAGCCAGAGGAGATGATTCAGGCAGAGCCATGCAGATGGGAGCACCCTGGGGCCAGGCTGGATGTGAGGGGCCTCACTTGTGGGGAGAAGAGGTGGGCGGGCCGTGGGGTGCAGCACCCGGACACCTCCACCTGCTGCTGCACTCCCTGGTACTCGCTGTCCTCACATGCACCCCAGAAGGGTTGCACAGGAGGCAGGTACCCCCATTCCCTCCATGCCACTGCTGCTCCCCTGGGATGATGTATGGATCTGGCACAAGACCAGTAGTATTTCAATTAATTTCTGGGCCTTGCAAAGACTCCTGACCTTTCATGAGATGCAGAGGGAAATTGAGGTGATTAATCTGGCAGGTCAGGGTGGCTCCTCCACTCTGACATTCCTTATGTGTTACATGGGGTGGGGTGGGTGGCAGACCCCTTTGCATAAACCAGCTGCAGAGGCTTTAGCAGTGAGATGCTGAGTGTCCCCCCTGCCGGCAGACTCACAGCCCCTCTCTGCAAACAGCTGGGTCACAACCAGGCTGTGGGCACCAGGAACGGGGAAAACATGAGCAAGACCAAACTCTAAACTTCTGCTCAGCAACCATACACCTGGCAGGTGCACACCACAGTGCCTCTGGAGCATGTGTTCCCCTGAGCACATGCACCTGTGTCCCACCAGGAGAGCATGCAGCAAGCAGCCCTCGTGGCTGCACAGAAGCAGACACAGCCACCCTGCACCACCCATCCTCCCCCCTGCAGGAAGGCCGTGGCACTCTCAACCCATTGCCCATCAGGTGCAAATGACTCTCCCCACCTCTGCTTGCCCCTCACATCTCACTTGCCATATAGCTGCACCCCCTGGGAAAGGAGGAGGGCAGCAGGGGAGTGGGCTGCACCCGGCCTGCGAGGAGCACCTGGGCAGCCAGGATGCACATGGTGGAGCTGGGAGGAGGGAAAGGATTCACCTCTTAATTTCCTATTAAATGCTGATCAATCCAATTAGATCCTGCATGTAATGAAGGCCATCTGCTTGGTAGGGCTGGGCCCCAGCACTCCCTCCCCATCCCAAAGCATGTGCTATCCTGTGCAGCCGTTGGAGAAGTCCATAAGCGCTGGCAGGGAAGGGGTTTGGGGATGGGAGGCTGATGAAAGGGGTTTTGCCCAATTTTCCAGATGACTCTAATTAAGTTGTTCCCTTCAGCTGCTAAATTAGCTGGAGCCCTCCCCTCTTCCCTGGATGGGTTCCCCCCCCTCCCCTCACTACCTCTCAGATGCAGCAAATCAGCTTCCAGCTCTCCTTCCCCCCCCCCCCCCCCCCCCCACCACCCCTCCACGCAAC